ACTGGCCCCACTGGGTTCCTGCAGCCTGTGGCAGCTTCCACACCAAGGCTCTCAGGACCATGGCTGCTGGCTCAAGGCCACGGCGGTCCAGGAGGACAGATGGTCTGTGCTGGATTCCTGCTCAAAGCAGAATCTAAGCACTCTGCTCAAGCACTCTGGTTTCAGGTCCATGTGGGTGCTCCTTATTTCTCATGGCTCCACTCCTCAGTGTATTTGGAAGGCTAAGGAGCTGCTGGAGAACAGGGAGAGTCTGTGTCAGGTGCTAACTCTTGTAGAATGTGTGAGTTCCTTGAGCCTCAGTTTCCAGTGATGGGGTTAGTGTAAGGAGTATCACAGAGCAGGGGAGGGATCATAGGCATCCAGATACTCACCCAGTCTCCCATGCATTTCCTCCCCCTTCCCTCTAGGTGTGGCTTTTGTGAAGCCACTCTCCTATGCTGTTGTCCTCCAAGGAGACCAAAGCTAGACCAAAGCTAGACCCAGAACCAGACTGTAGCCCTAGTATGTGAAGGGAGGTGAAAGTACTCCACAATATTCTGCTCATGTTCCTACTCCCAGCAGCAGCAATTGCACAATTGAGCACTAAATTGAGCAGAAGCTGATATAACTCCCTACCATATATGGAAATATTCTATTTTTTCCCCTTAGGCCTCTTTTAATAAATGAATGCAGGTCCGCTTTATTCTTTATAGCTGTGGTAAAATGTGCTTTGTTTGTTTTCACAGCTCCTTCTTGATGTCATCTTCTCATTTTCCAGGAGGTATACATGGGGGTATACATCTTGGGGGAGGGAGTAACCAAATTCCTAGAATCAGAATTGTGGGGCCAGAGGTAGGCCCTGTTTTAAGAGTTTTGTTTCCATTAGTCATTCCCAGAAAAGCTGTGTCCATAAGGCATTGATGTAGTCTAGGGGTTTTGATCAGGTTCACTTCCTCTGCCAATTAAAGAATTCAATTAAAGAATTAACAGCAGAGAAATCCCAAACACTACGGACAGCATCAATAGTTGAAGGGAGGTATTTTTTGCTGGTGAAGGCACACACACACACACACACACACACACACACACACACACACACAGAGGGCACCAGGGGAAAAAGACTCTCCACAAAGCTATGGGGTACTCTGAAAGTCAGCAAAAGCCACTCTCCTCTGGAGGGCTGGGACTTTTGGGGTCTCTGCAGTCCCACTGGTTGGTTTGAAGAAAGACAGGAAGGTTGATTGGCCCCAACTCACTTGTAACATGATCACGTGCTCCTGATCCAGCCTGTCCATCAGAAGGGGGCCTGCTGGTAAGAGGGAAAAGCCTGCAAGGCCTTTATTTGAAGCTGCCAGGCGTTTGTCTCAGATCTGGAAGGAGAGAAAGAAGTCGGCCATCTTGGATGTGTGTCACCTTTATTACCTCGACATGGCCCCTCTCCCTGCCTGCCTGCCTGCCTGCTAGGATGCCTGTCTAAATCCTAATTTCTTAGTACCATTCTCACTAATACTGAGCCATGATCTCATATCCCATGAGCATCTCACCTGCCTTCCAAATTCTCGAGTGAACTAGAACTCAGTCAGGGAACCCTTGTCTCTATGTAGACAGAACCTGCCTAGGTGAGTCTCTTGTGTTTTCATCCCTGGGCTAATCCAAACCTCACTTGTGACTTCTTTTTGGTACCATCCAGCCTTATCCCTAGTTTCTGCCAATACTAGGTGACATTGCGTGGGCTCTTTGCCATCTTGCTTTCGGGTCCTGTGCCCTGCCTTAGCCCTGGCTTCACTTTTTGCACCCAATTCCTACCTGACTTAAGGGATGTTTGCACATACATCATGACTTCACATGGTCTAGCCTCCCTAGGGAAGGAAGGATGTTTGTCTTAGGAAAAAGCAGCAACTGAAAAGCCAGTTGAGTGTCAAACTTGATTTAGAAACCAAGCTGTGTCTCTAGCATTTGTTAGTCCTCAGGTGGCAGGCTACATGTGGCCAGCTGACCACTTTCGGACCTGCTGGGGGATGCTGGGGCTTTCACCATACTCTCTGGCACATAAAAGCCAGGCACGCCAGTCCTCTTATAAACATAGCATTGAGAAGTTGGAGAAAGATGGATCCTCGGGCTTGCTAGCCAGCTACACTAGCTGAGACCAGCAAGAAGTTAGGTGAGAAAACCCTGTCTCAAAATATTATATGGAAAGCAAAAGAGAAAGACACCTAGTGACAATCACAGGCCTCTGGGTACATACACACAGTTTGTGAAATACATTTAATATAACATGCATTTAAAAACAAATGTGTGTGTGAGGTTTCCGTATGTGTGCAGGGACCCTAGGAGGCTACAAGATGCTAGATCCCTTGAAGCTAGAGTTCTAGGGAGGTGCTGGGAACAGAACTCAAGTCCTCTGGAAGAACAAGTGCTCTTAACCACGGAACCATCTCTGCAGCCCACATGACCATATGACGAGGTGCAGTTCTATGGTACCAAGCATACTCATACTGTTGTGCTATCACCACCATTTATCTTCAGAAGCTTTTCCATTTGCTCAGCCAAAGCTCTGTGTTCATTTAATACTAACTCCACATCCTCCTTCCCCGGAGTGCTTGGCATCCACCCTTCTACTTTCTGTCTTTATGAATTTGACTGTTTCAGGTAACTCCTGTTCACAGAACCATATATTGCATTATTTTGTTTGTTTTTTTACTCTAAAATTTTTGATTTTTAGATTTATTTTTAATTTTTATACATATGAGGGTTTTGTCTACACATGTGTATATGTACATCATGCATGCCTAGAGCCCATAAAGGTCAGAAGAGGGAGTCAGCTCACCAGTAACTGGAGTCACAGGCAGTTGTGAGCCACCACGGGAGTGGTAGGGACTGAAACTGGGGCCTTGCAAGAGCAAGTGCTTTTTAACTGATAAGCCATCTCCCTACCTCCCCCAGCTTTGCTTTTGAGACAGGGTCTTGTCCGGTATCCCCAGGCTACCCTGGCACACGCTCTGTAGCCAAAGCTGGCCTCAAATTCTGAAGTGTCATGCCTGAGCCTTTCAGCTGCTGGAATTACAATCTAGTATCAGCAGACCTGGCTGCATCCTATGGAATAGCCATCACTGTTTTGTTTTCTTTAAACCTGTATCTTCGCTCCTCAGTCTTTTCTGAAATGAAGGTTGGTTCCTATATCATCTTCTCGTAGGAGCTGAATAGAGAGATGCCTATGCCCCACCCCCATCCCTGTACCTCTCCCTCAGGTCCCTTTACAGTCTGTTCATCTTAGGAGGTGATGATCTGAAAAGTTACAGGCATACATGAGGGTGGGGATGCAGCAAGTAGCACAGAAAACAGAAAACAACTCACCTGAAGTGGAGAGTGGATGGAGGACAGGGCTGGTCCTGTTGCTTTCACAAGTGAAGACCAGAGCTACAGTGAATTCCTCCAGATCACAGAAAAGGTTAGGCCTGAAGACCTAGGAGGTTCTCTGTTGGGAGGGCAGAATTATGGAGGAAAGCAAGGGTGGGTTGAGGGCAGATCATAAAAATTGAGCAAATAGAGGTCTAGGAAGGGAAACTGACTTGCCCAGAGCCACATAGCCAAAGTGAGGGCAGAGAAATCCAGTAGTTACTACTGTTACAGTAACAGTTATTACTATGACCATAGTTTGAATGGTTTGTCTTCCCACTTACCTAATGATCTGTGACACCCTTCTGCCCTTCACCTTCAATCACCATGCTGTCTGGTTGTGTGCATGTCCTCAAGGATCTCTGAATTTTGGTCAAATTCACCCTGTAACACATGCCCACAAAGATTTCTCTGCTTCATGACCTCCTAATGTTTCATGCACAGAGGAATGCAGCAGCCACATTCTCTGCCTGGGAACATGGTCAAAGAAGGAAATGAGGCTTGCTTGGCAGGACTGGCTCAGCCAGATCTCACTTCCTTTCTGACAGGGTCAGAAGATCCAGAGTCTCAATGTGTAGTCCAGGTTGGTCTTAGACTCACAGCGATCCTCCTGTCTCAGCCTCCTGAGTGCAGAGATTACATGTATAATCCCCACATCTACTACTTCTGTTCTTTTAACCCAGACCTAACAAGTTGCCAAAGCCCGTGTTCACTATATGATTTGGTGGGACAGCACTTGGTCTTTGCCCTGGTTTCTGGCATAGGGCCCTTACAACTTTCCAACCTTTTTAGAAATGCTATAATCTTGATCTTACATTCAGGTTTTGCAGCTGGCTCCCACTCCTTGAACTCCCCTGCAGGACGGGCATCACATTCTGGTGAGGTGATGTCTGGGCTACTCCTGGATGGGAGCTGGCCATTAGGAAGACAAATCATGATGAGAACCTGGAAACTTGCAGCCTCCCCAGTTCAATCACACAGATGGAGTGCTGACGGCTAAAGGTTCAGCAGACCATCAGTGATTTTCGCATAATCAGCATAACAACCCAGAAGAGCTTTTGTGTGAGTCTCTGGATACAGACAATTGTCTGAGGGCACACCCAGAGAATGCATGGAGTGTCCCTTCCCTTCCCACAGGCCTCACACTCTGTATCTTTTTACCTGAGTGTTCAGTGGTATCCTCTCTAAATTGTGTGTGTGCGTGTGTGTGTGTCTGTGTGTGCGTGCACATGTGTGTGCACACGAGAAGGCCAGAAGAAGACATTGGTCTTTTTTCTTCTCTCTCTATACCCGAAAGTTACAGCAATGCCTGGCTTTTTACATGGATAATGGGGATTCAAATTGAGGTTCTCATGCTTGCACAACAAGCCCTCTTATCCATTGATATATCTCCCCTGACCCAATATCCTTCATTTATTTATACTTTATTACACTTACATTTATTATTATGGAACCCAGGGTCCCACATACACAAGGCAAGTATACTTCCATAGCCTTGTTTTTTCCTGTGTTCTTGAGACAGCGTCTCACTAGTTTGCTCAGGCAGGCTTCAGATTTTTGTGGTCCTTCTGTGTCAGTTTTGAGTGGCTGCAATTACAGGCCTGAGCTACCAGGCCTGGATAGAACTGTCATTTTATAAGAAACTATAAGTGAATGTTTCTCTGAGTTCTGTGAATCATCCTGGCAAACTAGCTGAAGCTGCAGTAAAGATCCTGAGAACCTACAGCCAGGAGCACAGGTCCCAGCCTGCTACTTGCCATTGGGGTTGGAGGTGTTCTTGTGGTTGAGTCCTTTAGCCTGTGGTATGCAATTCTGAGTCCAGGTAGATGGTATAGAACAAGTTACTATAGACCATCCTACCAGAAGTGCCTGTTTGGTGGGGATAAAGTCCATATACCTGGTGTCAGGTGTGGAGTGCTAAAAGGAGTGGTATGAGCAGATAAAGAAAATGCAGACTCTATAAAAGCACTGTCAGAAGGTCTGAGTGCAGTGTGTTTGAAGGCCATGTCTAACCATATTCCATGGATTCTTAGGCCAGAGGCTACTAAAGATTCCTCCAGTAGTGTAGACAACCTAGATGGCCCTGGAAGGCTATCTAGGGCCTTCCTTGAAGTGAGCCAAGAATGGCTCACTTTCCTTGCACCATTCTTGTAGGACAGATAGAACAACCTCTCCTGTGCACTGGCTTCCTTTGGCCTTTTTCAAGTCTAGCCAACTAGCCTGTGAGAGGCTGTGGTATCTGACACATGGGATAAAAGGGGACACACCTGGAATATACTGTTTTAAGTAACTGGTAACAACTATGATCCTTTTCTAATCATCCCTGGGCAATGAAGATATGAAGAGTCACTTGTGGGGCCAGAGAGATGGCTCAGTGGTTAAAAGCACATACTATTCTTGTAGAGGACCCAAGTTTGGTTCCCAGCAAGTACTTCAGACTGCTCACAACCTCCTCTAATTCAGGCTCAAGAAGATATGAGGCCCTCTTTTGGCCCCCACAGGCCCCTGCATGCAGGTGCACACACCCACACATACAACCACAGTAAAAATAAAAACCAATCTTATGCGAGAATGCCTGGCATGGTGGTGCATGCCTGTAATCCCAGCACTCTGGGAAGCAGCAGGCAGATTGTTGTGAGTTCAAGGCCAGCCTGGTCTACAAATGGAGTCCAGGGCAGCTAAGGCTACACAGAGAAAACCCTGTTTCAAAAACAAAAAACAAAACAAAACAAAACAAAATCTTATGAGAGAAAGAGAGGGAGACATTTTTGCGTTCTTTTGGAATCACAGTGTTGTGACAATGCACCTCAGAGAACTCTAATTTCCTCAGAAATCTCATGCTGAGAGAAAAGGGCTGACTTGTTAGCTGGAGAGGAAATTTGCCTCCTGGAAAGAGATTTCTCACACTGCCAGCATCCTGTCAGGTGACTTTGCAGGAGAGACTGGAGCTGAAGATGGATGGGACCACTCCTTGACAAGGACTGTTGTGCAGTGCACAACTCTTGCCTCTATTTAAACCTAGACATGTTAGGACTCAGTTGAAAGGCTTGGGGGAGGCACACTGGACCTCTTAAGTACCCACACCAAATAAATCTTCTACTGCTTCCCACTATGACTTGTCTAATTGGCTTATTGAGGACAGGTGGCCCTTACATTCTGGCCCCACAACTCTACTATCACTAGTTTAGCTTCGGGTTAAACTTCCTGGGCTGTCAAGAAACCCTGTATGACACAATAGCATGTGAGTATCTGGCACAAACAGCTCTCAGGTCCATCCTCAGCCATCCTGAGATTTGTTGAGAATAGCAGACCATGGCCAGAGAACTGCTAGGGACAACTTTATTTTGAACTGGGAAAGGTACTATGTAGTGAGTACCTGTGAGATACTGGTCATTAGTTTAAACACGTCTTTCAAACCTCACACATGGTATCATTTCCACTTACAGATAAGAAAAATGAAGGTCCTACAAGGAAACCTCTGGCTTCTAGAAGACATGTGTAGCCTGTTGCTCCTTGTGTGTCTCCCTTCACCCACCAACCCAAACTCCTTAAATCAGAAGAGAAACCAAAGTTACAAAGATAGGGTCATTTATTCATGTTATATTACTGCATTTCAAAGGCAAAAATTATCTGTTCTGAACATCAAGGTCAGAGACAGTCACATACATATACCCCTAGCCCCAATGGTAAATATGTTTGCATACATAGGATATCAAAATACATATACAGCATCACAAGTCTCTGGAACAGCCCCTGGGCATTGGAGACCCTGGCAGGCTGAAGGCCAGTGAAGGTTTTTTGTTTGTTTGTTTTTTAGGGTTTTTTTTTTTTTTTTTTTTTTTTGCCTTTTTGTGCCTTTCATCTTTCCCAAAGCCCATGTTATACAGGTCACCAGCAAATATATAGAGAAAGGCACAGCATGTGTGAAGGAAATGCTCCTTGACTCCTCACTCCTCCAGTCCCCAACAAAGATGCTGGCAACAGCATCTCCTGGATCAGGCAAATGCCCAAGCCCAACAGTGCCTTGGTTGTGCTTTGGGCCAGAGGTGCTCCAGAGAATTCTGGAAGGTCAGCAAATGGGAGACACAAGCAAGACAACTTCTCTGGGTTCTGAGAATGGACCACATAATTGACAGGAACGGAACCCAAAAGAAACAGCATAGAGAAAAGGCAGAGTTTTGTTTTAGAAGGTAACACAGACAACAGCATGACAGACACAGCATCTGTCTCCCTTCTTTTAAGGCACTTTGGAAAAGTCAGGATCTGGTGACAGAAAAAAAAAAATCTGTTTCCCAAAAGTCCTCTCAGTGCAGCCAGTCTTGGTTTTAATGGCCGTCTAGAGGCATGAGGAACTGGGAGAGCAGACATTTGCACAGCCTGGCTGCTGTGGCTGGAGAAATTAGTTTCTAATCTACACATTAAAGAGCATCTGGAAAAAGCAGCAAGTTTAGTTTAAGACTGTGGTGCTCAAAACAATAAAGGCACAGGTAGAATCAGGGCTAACCATCCACTTAGCCTCTGCACTCAGGGCTGGAGACCAGGCTGCTACAAGCAGAAAGGGCTTAGCTCTGGAATGAGATAGCTTAGGATCTCAACCCAGGCTGCATCTTTCAAGGCCTCCCAGGTACTGCACATCACCCCACAAAAGTGAGTTTATAAATGACATCCCATGGGTTAGACTAAGCTGTGGGAGAGCCTGCTAAAAACCGTGAGTGGTGACAAAGGGCTTTATAGGCACCAGGATCCTCAGGACGAATAGGGTGTGGGCTCAGGTGAACTTTCTAGACCTCTACTTAAAAGGCACAGTCACGCTGGAGAATGAACAGTCTGACCCTGAGTGCTGCAGGGAATTTTAGGGAAGGAAACAAAGGAGTGAAAAGGGAGAGGAAGAAAGAAGAGGAAAGAGCAGGAGAAAAAGCAAGACCTGGTTACTTTGGGAGGGTCAGGGAGTGTGGTGCAGAGGCTCTCAAGGATAGTAAACATGCGGCTGCTAAGATTTTCAACCCCATAGCCTAGGAGCCTGAGGGTCCGTCCACCCTGCCTACCTGGGGGAGTGGTGGGAGAGCTCTGCCAGGAAAGCAGAAGCAGTTTCCCAAGT